CGAGGGGCCTCGCGTTCTAGAAATGAACAAACTCTCCCAAAGTTCACAGTTTTCCACGGCAGAAAGTAAAATATGTTTTACTTTCGAAAGGATCCTGTCGGATTTCAAAAGTATGTCGAAACACAAAGCTATATATCAGGTTTTGTAGAGCTTCTCGCGGAGATCTAAATCTGTATTGGAATTGGGTTAATACCTTCTGGTTACCGACATATGGGTGTTACCATGTTTTAGGTCTATAATCGGTATTGATGTAAGTGGAAAGATCGATATTCGGTAATATAATACAATGAACCGTTGTCTTACCCATATTCTTTTAGAGCAATGAAAACTGTACAAACTAGTTCGATAATAGGTAATAGAACCTGGTTCTTCTAGAAAAAATGGGTTATTTATGAAAAAAATCGATCATACACATAGTGCATGTGCGCAGTAAAATAGCTGTAAAATCCAAATGATATGCAGAACCAAATTATAATTTTGTCAAAAACTGTATGAGTATGAGCTCTATCTGCCACATTCATGTAGAGGTCTGAAATCTATATGCGTCTATGAGAAAAAAAATCTTTACTGGAAAAAAGTATACCAGAATAGGGTATATTTTGGCTTTAAACTTGTTTTTTTCTGGTCTAATTTACTTATCAACCAGTTTTAACGCCATATTCATAATCTCCGAACAAAATTGAGTCGCACGGAGTATTATACATATGATCAACACACAAAAAAGCTTTTTGGGGACAAGAAGTCCTAAGGAGGGTTTGACGGAGTCTCGAAAAACACATATTTACCGGCCAAGTCACATGTAGTTTTAGTGGGTGCTCGGAAGTCTTGACACACTTCGCAGTCTGCACAAAAGACGCAAAAATACAAAATGTTGACTAATCTTTTCTATGAAAATGATTCACTCAGAATTTCTAGCTCATTTCGCGTTTGATCTTCTTGTAAGGCTTCCAGTGACTAATTATGACAGAGTATGACAAAAAAGTCAGTTAGGGCTCTTGAGATATGAAGAGTGGCAAAGGCACCGCTTACTCCGAATAAAATAGTGCGGATGAGAGTGATCGGAAATTTTCACACACTCTGAAATAATGACACAGGACGCATCTCAATCACATGATGTCACGAGGTCCTCACCTATATCCATACAGTTCAGCAACTTCCCAATTGAGTTCTAGAGACACTACGAATTTTTTAAGCTCAGGTTTACCATGAGACAGTTCTCACTGTACGAGAACTAAAGACTCTTTTTACCGAAACACTAAAAATGACGAATTAGTAAGGTGCACCAAATTCAAAAATGCAGTGACCTTTTTTCAAAATATTTTTTCTTGGATTCTGATTCGCCGTACACGAATCTGGTCTTTTTTAAAATTTTCACCGAGTTTTAGGTAGAAAATCGCAAAAAACTGGGTAGAAGTGAAAAACTCAAATTGCATGATCTTTTCAGAAAACGACCTCTAGCTCTTCCAAATTACGATATAACTCTTCGAATTTAACTTCATAAGATTCCCTACATGTAACTGGTTCTAACCACGTGTCGTTTAAGGATCCACGTGTTGTTAAAGGACTTTGAAAAATGAATTTTTGGCATCGCTTCACAGGGCACCTACTCAAAAACAGAGACCTTCACCTTGCAAATGCATCTAGTCCCTGGATTAAAAAGCTAACTCATTGAATCATACGTCAAAAGATTCGCCGAGCGACGCGCAACAAAGTTATATTTGTACATTTTTGATAAAAGTTTTTGTTCTTGAGCTATAGCCAGTGGAGGCTTTGAGACAAATCGCAAATCGATACCTGGCCGAACTTTCGCTGAAAACTGCGTGAATTTCTTTTTCAAAATTTGTTTAGAGTTCTCAGCACACGAAATTTCCTTGTAGATCCGTTTCTTTTCAGGTCCGATCATAGGTGCATTTATGTCTTTCTTCACACTCTTATCTTTTTAAAATCATTTTGTAAGCCCTATTCCAATTCGTATGTCAACAAATGATAATGAATAGTCATTTATTCTAGCAATATATCCAATCTGATCAAATTCATCGTTGAATTGAATGAAAAGAAGACTTATACTGCGCTTGACGCTTTGATAAAAGTTCGCGGAGAGAAGAAAAAAATACTGAGAATCACCTAGTTTCATCCGCCGCCATGTGTTTAATGTGAATGTTCTTTTATGTTATTCTCCGACTACATGCGTTAGGTTTGTCTATTTAATATTACTACTAGCAAGAAAAATCTGATTCGATTTGATCTGATTTATGTCAACATTTTGGAATCCTAAATCGGTTCTACCGGGTGTCCGGAAATTCATTGACCAAAAAGAAAATTAAATATCTCCGCCATTTCTCAACCAAACTTCAAGGTTGCTCTTTTGTTTGATAGAGAAACATTCCAAGTTTTATTTCATACGATTGGAACCTCTTGTTAATATTTGAAAAAATGTTTGAATCTATTATAGTAGAATCCAGATATTTTCAGACTCTTTTTTAATAAATTATGTACTGCAAAACTTTTCGAAAAGAACATAAATAATTTTTAATATTAAAGTAAAGTAGATGATGACGGGTTTCATATTATTTACTTTTGCTTAAAAATGACCGGTTGATGTGGATTTCTTCAGTCATTGTTATTCCATACTAGCATCTGGAAAAGTGCAAAAAAGTAATAAAAATATTTTTCAGCTAAAGTTAACTAATAAAAGAAAAACTTTTAGTGGAATTCTATACAAAGAAGATAGCCCTATAAATTGGAATAGTTTGAAAGCCTGTAAAAAGTTGTATCAGGCTAATCCAGAAGCCGCAACCCGTAGGACATGCTAATATCGAGAAATTAACTTCTTATGGCAAAACTTTAAACTGAACAAAACATTTGAACATGCGAGATTGTAGAGCAGCCTGAGTTCTACAAAATGATATGTTGTGCGACGCTGACAAAGATTCCATTTAATTACGACAAGTTCAACAATCTTTACGCACTATTACAAGTACTTACACAGAAAACATATGTTCTAAGTTTTATTATTTTTCTGTACTGATCCTTTTGTACACAAAACTTTTCGATCGTATGAAATAAAACTTGGAATGTTTCTCTATCAAACAAAAGAGCAACCTTGAAGTTTGGTTGAGAAATAGCGGAGATATTTAATTTTCTTTTTGGTCAATGAATTTCCGGACACCCGGTATTCGATTCGACGTTATTCGACGCTCTCGTGCTTGTATTATCTCCTTTATCTGATAGATATGGGCGCATGAGCGATACATGACAGTCATACTGTTTACGTATTGCGCTACGCATGATAAAGAAATCAACCATTCTCTCAAGATGAACTAAGGACATTTGCTCGTAGATAGTGCGTTAATTAGAAAATCTAGGATGAAAAAACATACCTGCCTTTTGTACTCTTACGGAAAAAGAAATATTTTGTATATTATTGTTGAGGGTCTTGAAATGGAGGCCGCGTGTGACATATAAGCGTTATGTATTGTATAGTCTTGCAATGGAATTTTAAACATCAGATTCTATTGTGATGATAACATGTATTACGATATTTAGAGTAAATATAGTTCAAAATTATGATAGGAAATACGGAGAATAAGATGCTCATTAAAACGAGAGAAAAATTGATTTATTTGAAGGAACGCACAAGCATAAAAGAAATGTTTGTCTAAAAAAAAAGTCAAAGGACATGTGCACGTTTTTATAAAAATGGTGGAGAGAGTTATTACCCATATGAGAGTACCTGAATAAGGCGAGCACGAAACCTAAATGCAATCCTACATCGACAGTAAACTAAGGGTCTTCTGAAAATCCTCTTGAGATCCCAGTTATCGGACATCATGTTTATCCTTCATATTTGTTCACACTGTACTTAAAAATCTGTAAAACGAAATATTTTCCATAAACCTTCTGAAGGTCTTCCGGAATGTTGACGGTTCCTAGGGCGTTATGGATAGGGGTGGCGCTTTACCGTTTCTTTACAGGTAACGCAGTAACGCATGCGTTACTCGTTACCAGTAACTACTAACGAGATGCGTTTATTTTTCATAGCTTTTGTAACGAGTAACGCAGCGTTATTTGCGTTACTTTTCTGGTAACGCATTAACGCTTGCGTTACTCGTTACTAGTAACGCATAATATAGTAACGCTTTAGTCGCACCCCTAGTTATGGAACTCAACTTCCAGTACCGAAACATGTGTTATAGGGTGGCTTCTAAATTCAGTTTTTTCAACTGCTTCACAGCTACAGTTAGCGGATAAATACCACACTGCAGCAGAACCAAAAATCAGCCGCATAGCATGAAAGAAATTTTTACGTTGAAAACCAAATTCGGTTGTTTTCAATTAATCGGTCAACCGGTTAGTCGGTTTGACGATTAATCACCCCTCCAATTAATCGTAATATGTACATGCCTGTCTGAAATGTAATTAACCAATAGTTCTAACCTAGTCCGAGCAGATGGCACACTTAATTCATTTATTCTCACCAAAATTCATTAAAAACAGTCTTTCTGTGTATGAGAGAGATCTTTAGCAACCACAGCTAAAAGGCAAGCTTTTTTATTTCTTTTCACTCTCGATAAGCCACATGGACTGCGTATAAACTATGACATAGACAGACATTTTTGGAGTTAAAAACAGCCTGGCTTACTGTCAAGAAAACCTTTTACGTGTACTCTGAGTGTTCATATCTATTTTTCAGCAGGCATAGTTCCAAGAGTTTGTTTGATTTTTTTCTCAGAAAAGGTTTCTTTGATGATCTGAGAACTTGGAAATTGGTTTCAGTGATCAAAGAGTGTTCATAAAATTGTTTTTAAAATTAAAATATAATTAAATTTGTAAAACATTTACTTTGTTTCAAGCAGTAGTTAAGCCAACGTTTCCTTATTATTTTGCGCACCACATTCAACAAAACAAAAGATTATTTTTAAACGAAAATTAGAAAATAAGGTTTAATGTTTGCTTCCCAATGACTACTACCACTGTAGTAAACTAGGTAAAATAATTCTTTAACAACTTGGAATATAAAATCTTTGAACTCTGTTATTGCCCGAATCGACTACGTATAAATATTGCTCAGTTGAATCCAAAGCTAAACCTATTGGAATATATAACTGGTGCGGACCAGAACCTGCTGTTCCATTTCCAGCAAATATCGTAGCATTGTCAGCACCAACGGTAAACTTTTTAACAGAGTTGGTCGCTATAAAAACAACAAAAAGTTGAAGTATGATTAGATTAAAAGTTCAGTACTTTATTTATTTTATATTTAGCTTACTATCAGTTACAAACAGTGTTTGTTCGTTTGCAGTAACTATAACATCATATACATTAGCCAGAGTATTACTAGCGATAACTACACCACCGGTACTGGGATCTGCACCTGGTAACCATCGTAGCACACGGTCATTATTATTATCAGCTACATAAAGATTTCCTGAACTACTAACAACATAGATACCAGCTGGTGCACCAATTATAGCTCCGTTACCCAAACTGCCTAAAAGTTCAAATATTGTGAAACTGAGTTAATTGATACGGGAAATGACATTCTTTCAAGAGACATTTCTAGAGACGTTCAAGAAAGTATAATAAAATATGAACTAGTTAGTCTGCACATCACTCATTCTTATGGTTTCTTAGTTCCACGTTCAACTGAAAGATTTTAGAATGTTCTAGACTGTATGGCAATATATTTTATTTTCTTCAAATATCCAACTTCGTATACTGTCACTACACATACTCGAAAGCAGTGTATTTCTCAGTTTCACGTTAAAAAGCATAGTATTAGATTCAGTTTTTTGCTCTGATTACGAATATGGCTATCTTATGCTTATATCTGCTTGTTTTGGCATAAAAAAACGCATAATAATGGCCAGTTCTCCTGCTTTTTGAGGTATTTTCTAATTTTGACTCTGGTCTTTCATCTTTAAGGTCATATTTTGGAAAGGGAGTGACTACATAGCTTTTGAGATAAAGACTTACGAGGGAACCTCCCCAGATATCCAACTCCGATTTCAATGATCTTTTGCCTATAGATACTATACAGAGTCCTAGTAAGAACCCTAAAAGGATTTGGGTTCGTACTGCTTGTTTCAAGAGTTATGAATGTTTTTATTTTGTCCATACATCACATAACATAAGTTATTAAAAATTCGATACCTCACTCAAAACACAATGTGAAAGAGTGAACATTTTTTCTGTATTTATAATCACAGAAAATTTCAGCCTTCTCTCACAATTCGTTGTTAAGTTATAAAACATTCATAACTTTTGAAACAAGCAATACGAACTCAAATCCTTTTAGAATTTTTACTAGCACTCTATATAGTATCTACAGACAAATGTTCATTGAAATCGGAGTTTAACATCTGTGGAGGTTCTCTTGTTAGTTATAATGCACAATCGTCCAATTTTTCATGTTTTCGCTCAAACAACGATAGAAAAACGTCGATTAAAATGCCACATTTTTAATAGTTCAGGTAGAGAAAATGTAAAATGTTGATTTGTATTTTTTTCGTAATAGTTTCGCTTCTAACACTCCCATGGAAGATTGAAAAAATGATTTTTCTCTGATTTTTCTACAACATCGTTCAATTGAGAATTTTATGCTGATAATGAGTATTATATTAGGTGTGCTTTTCTGGAACGAAGACAAACGTTTTTCTTCTCCATCGCATATCATGCCTGTTGAGTGAATGATTAAAGTGATATATTATTTTACCTGCAACAACGGTTCCATTAGTTCCGTTGGTTGAATTAGAGAAAAATTTTATAACTACATCATTTACAGCATCCGAAACATAAAATGTGCCACTATCAGCATATACACCGTACGGAAAATTAAACTGAGCTGGTGGAGGGCCAGATGTAGCAAATTCACCGGCAACAAGTTTAGCATTTCCTGTTGCATTAATTAATTTGAATACAACAGAATTACTATTATCAGCAAAATACAACGTTCCATCACTAACAATATAAACACCTTGAGGAGAGACATTACTACCACTACCATCATAAACGACC